AGGCAAAAAGACATATTGGAGACTCTGTTTGGTTTCAAAAAGAAAAAAAAATAGAGGAATCGATAATGTTCTCATGTATTTCAAGTCTGCTTCAGTGAAATGGAAAACCTTGTCAATTTTGAATCTTTTCATTTGTATTCTCTTACTTCTTGAAATTTTTATTTCAATATTTTTTAAGTTAATAAGATCAAATACTTAACTATTGAATAGGAGTAATTCCACGGGTATTTTATAATAGTAGAACTCACAATACTTGACTTAAGAATTATGATATATATCAGAAAAATGAAATAGCAAAACTGTTAAATTTTCACGTTTTTTGCTAGTACTTAATTAATATGCTTTTGTGATATATTACTGAACAGTGATTAGTCATTCTTCAACCCTTGTAGGAATATTATTAATATTATTATAAATAAATAAAAATAATATAAAGTTAATAATAATGACAATTATAAATAAAATAAAATAAAACAATAACATAAAAATGATGTATAAAACAAATTAAACAAAGATTTAAAATAATAAAATTACTCCCAGCATGCAAGAAAAACTGTTCCTGCCGGAAATACAGACATCCCGCCAAAAGACGTTAAATTCAATGTTTTCACCACGAACTTTGGTAGAGGCAACACGTGTCCAACCTCTCTCTCTCTCTCCCTCCATCCCTCCCTCCCTCCCTCTCTCTCTCTCTCTCTCTCTCTCTCTCTCTCTCTCTGATATGGCTTGTAATACTACGGAGTAAATTCTCCCAGTTATCACATGTACTAGAAAGCAATTGTAACCTAAAAATATAAATAAATTTATAAATTTAACATAATTTACGATGCTTTTCCAGTTATTTTTATACGTTTTATTTCCTGTCAAGTATGCTTTTATCTCAATGAACACGAGGTTAATTTCTGCTGCTATAATCCTCATATTACCGAAAAACTGTTACGTGTGATCGTGAGAAAAAAAAATTACACTTAAATGTAAAGAGCTGTCGCTCTTGATTCTGTAGAATCCGTCAGTAAAAAAAAAATCTATAAATAAACTTTATCATTCTTGTGTCATTTACATATGTCGACATACGTGTTGTCTAATCAAGATAGACACCGTTTATAAATACTACTGACAGTAGGTCGTCTTTTGCAGACAATTTTAAAGTGGTATTCAAAATCTTTTTTAAAGATTAGTTTGGTCAATTTCTGATTAATTAGGTCTCGATATCGTGTCATGAAAATCACGATGCGAGGTCTTGATTTTTATTTGTGTACGAACACAAATTTCTAGCCCCATTGGAAAATGTCCAACTATCCCAGCCTATAAATTTGTTATTTTTGAATGTTTTTTATTACTTACTCTGGCTGCAGCATTTCAGTTGATGTTCATTTCTTGGTTTCTTAAACATGGATGGGAAAATTATGGATAAACAGCACTTTTTTTTAAAAATAAACCTGAGATAACGTCCTGTAAAATATAAAAATAAACATTTGTATTCACTCTGATGATTACGCCGAGAAAACATTCGATTATCATGAATAAGGATCTTCATTTGATCTTTCCGATATTCATTTACTCAAACTCGCTGGGTAGGTTACGTGTTGTTTAATCTGACCCACTTGCCCTTCTGTTTATGTTGTGCGTATCAAACTTCCTAAGCCCTCTTTCCTCATTATGTGCCCTAGAAATCACAACTCTGTATTTCTGATGTTAAGTATAAGCCCCATTTTTGTTTCCAATTTCATTAAAACATCGTTGTTGCTCAGATGTTTGGTTCATAGTATTCTCAGTATCCTTCTGTAGTTCCGCATTTCTCTTGCTTCGAATCTGTTCTTCATCTTTGAGTAGATTGTCCACCATCCACTGCTATATATGAAGCCTGATATTACGCAACACTCTTTCTTTTCTCTGTTTCTAACAACATTTTTTTGTTTTTTGGTTCTTCGTTTCGTTTTTAGAAGGCGTTTTCGCTATTCCACTGCGCCTTCGAATTTCAATGTGGCATATTCCGTCCTCTGTTAAAACACTTCCGACATCTTTAAGTTGTTGTACTTGTTTCATTTTGGTATCCCCAATTTCCAGGCGTTCCGTCCTCTTGCAATTGATGTTTAATCCTTACTTCTCACTTTCCTTCGCTACCATCTTTAGAAGTTGTAGTTTCCTTTACCTTCCTTTTCTGGTGCCCGACCTTATTCTATTCCGACCAAAATTTTATCACTTCTTTTACATACCTTTAGAGACACGTGCCAAAAACTCATTGGATAGTGCTGTATAAATATATGTAATTTTGGGGCGAGAGTTATTCCCTTTGAAACGTCATTCTTCAGTCTATAACAAAGACATTTCTACCTAGCAACTAGTGGCATTCTCCTAGGATTGTTATTCTCCCAGATAAAACATCTATGGAACCTCGTATCATGTATGTCTATTTTAAAGGCGAATAGAGCGAATAAGGTTTTTACTTGCATGATGTCTAATATCATGTAGGACCTAACACGACAAAATGCAGCAAGTCCTCGATACCCTTAGTGTTCGAACGAACTCCGGCAAGATATTGAGCCATATCTTCTCGAAAACTGTCCATTGCTAGTTGAGATCTGTAGATGTAGGATCTTGCGTGCGAATAGCCCTCTCCAACACGTCCCAAAAAAGCAAGGATGGTACCATATCGGATGAATGTGTGGATACACCATTCGTCAGAGGCCTCCAGAATGCTCCTTAAATCAATTCTTTGGGTTCAATAACACAGTACATTATCTTGCTTGAATAATTCATCATTTTGGAGATACACGCAGCCTATGAATGGTTACGAAGCCATTCAACAGTGTAACACGTTCACCAGACAATTCAACAGTGTAACAGCTTTAGACAGACCAGACGACCCAACGGAATTTTCCTGTTTCTTAATTCTTTGCTGAGCCTTTGGAAGTCATTTTGCGCGCCCCAACACACCTTCGGATATCATTGTCGCACTTTCTGTCCTGTGTTAAAACACTTCCTAGATTATTCAATTGTTGTACTTATTTAATTTTGGTATCTCCAATTTGTAATTTTCCTGATGGACTGTATTTTTAGCTAACAACCAAGGATTCCGTCCTCTTTAAATTGATATTTAGTCCTTTCTTCTCGCTTTCCTACCCCACCCCACGAGGTTCACCAATCTGCTACATATTGTACTCATATAAAATACAAGTTTTATCGTACAATAAAGGAGCATATACAGTACAGATGAAGAAATCTACTAGAAAAATTGAAAATAAATCCAATGCATCTAAATAGAAATGAAAAACATGTCACAATAGAGTATTTCATCTTAAATAAATCAACAATGTGTTGCTGGAATTTTTAACATCATCTTGAGATATATATATATATATATATATATATAGATTTTTTTAAAGCCGTAAAAACGGTGAAGAGGTGGAACCACCTTTAACAGCTGTTGTTCCCAGATTCATCATAACCTGAGGTGGTAGCAACTGTTAGGGTCCCAGCTTTGGAAAAATAGTGAACTACCCCAAAAAAAAAAAAAAAACAAGATACCATGAAAGTATACAAATAGATTTTTATAGTAAAAATACCAGCAATACATATTTATAGTAAAATTACCAACAATATCTATTTATAAAGTAAAATTAATAACAATAGCTATTTATGGTAAAATTACCAGCAATACATTTTATCTGTGATTGAAGTCATACGATTGCGTTCAAAATATTTAGATTTCAACATTAAAAGTTGATATGCCGCTAAACAAAATCAACCAACCAACTTACCCAGCCTTCGATAGTTTTGACATTTGTAGTACTTCTTCAAACGAGCTTGAATGGCAGGGTTATTTAGGCACTCAAAATAAAATTTGCCACATACAAATTCTGTAAAAAATAAACATTTATTTTATACACTTTGGTATTTAATACAAGATATACCTTAATAATAGAGAAATTGGAAGTTTTTCTCAGTATGCAATGAACATATGAGTCTTAATAAAAGATTGTCTCAAAAAATTATTTAAAAGGATCAACTTCATCCATCATTGGCCTCCTTCTGCCCCGAGGGAAAATGAGAGTTACGCCGTGGGTGCATTCATCTGTCGTTGGTGTCTGCAGAACCTCCCATCGATCCTTTCTCAGCCTCTTGCCCAGTTGCGTGCTTTTCTCGACGGCCTATCTCCATCTGTCCCGATCTCCAACTAACTGGATCGATACCACCTGCCTTCATGTCATGCAGCACATCCTTGTAGCCTGCATGTCTGGATCCAGTAGCCAATAGCTCACCACAAGCCAGGCGCCTCTAGCAAAACGAATCGATGGATTTGTTCCACGTGGTCATGCCATAAATCCCCAGGATCCGTCGGAGACAGTACATGTGAAAATCGTTTAGCCTGCGTTCAGAATACAGTGTTCAGGACTCTTTATACTGTCAATTTTGTTGTTGTCTCGCAGCCTTGTTGCTACACGCAACATCACTGCTGAGGCCTTGCTGATCTTGGTGTTCAGATCGGCATCCAGCGACAGGTTGGTGGCGTCAGTGGGACCAAAGAAGGTGAAAGTTTCCGTCACATCCAATATGTGGTCGCCGATGGAAATGCTTGGGACCCTGCTGACATCTTGAACCAAGATTGAGATTGATGGTAAGACCTGAGTTTGTACACACCCGTACAAACGAATCGATGAGCCGTTGCACAGCTTCCTGACTGTGTGCATCAGCATCAGCAAACAGCATCTCCCTGATCAAAATAAATTTATTCACTACTATTGTGCAGGAAGATGCCATCGTTAGAAAATAAATTTATTGATTATTTACGTCTTATCCAACTTTTATAGTTTATTTCAAGCCAGAAAACATTTTCAGATTAGTATTTTGGTGATAATAATAATTCACTGATACGAAGAATAGGTGGATTCATGCCTTTCCCAAGGGTATTTGCGTGTAAGTAAATATAACAAACCCGATTGGAATTGTATCTCTGCTCTCCAATTCAGAGCCTTTATCCATTACATCACTCACACAAGCTTACGGTACCTGGCATTCCCAAGTGGTCACCCATCTAGGGACTGGCCAGGCTCGACGTTGCTTAACTTCGGTGATCTTCAGGAACAGGTGTTTCAACGTAAGGTGGCATGACAATTAGCCTTTTTACTTGAACAGGTTACGATTATAGTATCCACAAGGTAGAAATTCTTGGAACAAAAACTGAGTGGAAATACGACTTAACAATTCGGAATACGTGGTTAATGGATTCGATCGTTGGGGTCGTTATATTCACTTACGCGAAAATCCCTTGGGGAAGGTATGAATCCTCCTCTTCTCCCTAGCAATGAGTCAATTAGTAAGACTTGTATCACTAAATCATTATTATCCCCCCCCCGCACCAAATTCAAAGAATCTAAAAATATTTTCTGACTTTAAATAACCTGCAATGGGTCGATAACCAGATAAAAGCGCATCAATCGATCAAAAACACTGTTGGTATCTAACCTAATTGTCTCCATTATTTTCACTTTCTACAAGTTCCGATTTCATTCATATCACACAGGAAAAACATTTTAAAAGTAACCCTCTACATTGAGTGGATCGGAAACTTTGTGCTAGGTGAACTTTAGTTTTAAAAATACGTTACTAACTCAGGATACCAGGCACTTAAACGGTACAAGGTAGCAATGATGAAAAAAGTTACGTAATATATAAGAAAATTGAGCTGCGAGATCAGCTGCATCGTCATAGTGTTAAATTAGACCTCCTAGTTATTTATTGAGTTGAGCTTAGTACAATGATCCATCATGAGGGTCGGTTCATTTTACTGCTTCATATAGTATCTGTCCCCTTTCTGTTATACTTTATCTTTACAAGAGTCAAATTAACACCCCCACCCCCCAAAAAAGTGTATCGCTGGCATACCCGGGCTGGAGCTGTGCAATCCTCCTCAAATTTCAAAATCGCATACATTACCCTGTGGCTGGTTTATTTTCGGTGTAGTTCCCTATCCCACAGACGCACCTCCTGTCACTATTCTGTCTCAAAACCCATGGAAAATGTTACGACGATCTCCCTTCTTTAATTCCACTAGGCCACATCCACAGAGTTGAATCACTCCCATTCCCTTCGTATTCATTTAGTAAGAAAGGTGTTCCATCCCGAAAGCTACTTCGCACGAAACGCTAATTTGTGGAACAGATGCGACACCTGCGTGAATGTTTTACCGAACTGTACAATCTTAACCACGTCAGTTTAGCTTAATCTTTTTTTCGATTCGCTGTATCCTCGTTGTTTTCACTTACTGCTTCACTCCCTACGTTCATATCACACACCTTATTCAGTAACCCTCTATCTTGAGTGACTCTTGGGATTTATAGTAATATATAAAAAAAGCCATAACCCTGGAATAGGAAGTTCGAAATCACTACACTAGACTATAGTCAGATAGATTAACTTGCTGACTTTTATTGAACGTTATATATATTAATTAATTGCCATGTTTAGCATAGTTTAACATGCAGGGTTCCATAATTGTTGATATCGAACCCCAACGGTAGACAGAATCATCAAATGAGTTGATAAATACTTAGGAAATGGAAAGCAAACATTTGGACAAGAAATAAATACACGTAGAATACAACTTGCTGTTACATAGCGTATCTAATTCATATATAATAATTTGTATTGTCTCTTCATTTTATATATATAGTTTGTATTGAATAGAACTTCTTCATTTTATTGTCAGGGATCGATTCATTTGTCCATTGGTATCAGTGCAAGAAGTAGATATCCTTGAATGAGCAGAGACGTGTTACGATCATTCACCGCCGTCAGTAGCTGAGAAGGAGTAAGTGAAGCACATGTGGGATACGACTGTCTTGACTGACAAGCACTTGGAGAGGCATCGCTCTGATATCACACACGTAAAAGAGTAGGTAGATAAATTGATCCTGATAGACGCACTGTTACCTTGGGATAATAAAGAAGGTGAAAATACTTCGGCATTCAAACTGGGCAGGCCTAATCAAAGTAAATGTACAAAGCAGAAGCTTCAAGTCGCCCCCCCTTCAAGTTGAAATTGGTTCCCTTGGATTGATTTGAAAATGTTCTGATAAACTCATTGTAAGGATCCCTGGTAGCCCATGACTTAAGGAAATACAAAACATTGTACTCACAAATACACCTCACACCTTACCAAATACTTTATTTATGTAAAATGCGTTTGATCATGGGTTTTTTTTTGGTTTTTTTTTTACAAAAATAATCAGAAAATATCATTATACCATTTCTGACCTTAGGTGTCTGGTTGGGACCCGGAAAGAAATGAGTAGACCACAGAAATCAAAGGAAATAACAATAATAATAATAATTTAGTTATATATATATATATATATATATATATATATATATATGTGTGTGTGTGTGTGTGTGTGTGTGTGCGTGTGTATATGTGTGTATGTGAATTTAAGAAGGTGTATGTGTGTGTGCTTTTGCTTGTGTTTGTTTGTGTGTGTGTGCTACAAATATGTATATCCAAGGTTGTTAAGAAACTCTCCGCCCAATCAAAAGAAATCTGATGTTTAACAAATTTAACAAATTTTAGCGAGTAGACGGTGCCAATAACTTCTCAGAATCTCCTTCCATATATAGATCTAATTTGGGTTTATGTTAAGATTGTAAAGCAGAAAAAAGGTAACATGAAATAAATATACTCCAATATGAGACTTACTTGGAGCTACAGTCGTCGACGGTTTCTTCAGTGTAGATAGGCGTTGTTGTTTGGGTTGTAGTTGGAGTCGTTGTTTGGGTTGTAGTTGGCGTTGTTGTTTGGGTTGTAGTTGGTGTCGTTGTTTGGGTTGTAGTTGGTTGTTTGTTGTTTGGGTTGCAGTTGGCGTTGTTTTTGGGTTGTAGTTAGTTTGTTGTTGTTTGTTATTTGGGTTGTTTGGAGTAGTTGGCGTTGTTGGTTTGGGTTGTAGTTAGAGACGTTCTTTGGGCTGGAGTTTGTTTTTGGGTTGTAGTTGGTACGTCCCTTGTTTGTCTGCTCTGGGTCGTTGACTTGTTTTTGGATTATAGTTTGAGTCGTTGATTGGGTTGTAGTTGGTGTTGTTGTTTGGGTTGTAGTTGGAGTCGTTGTTTGGGTTGTAGTTGGCGTCGTTGTTTGGGTTGCAGTTGGCGTTGTTGTTTGGGTTCTATTTAGTGTTGTTGTTTGGGTTGTAGTTGGCGTTGTTTTTTGTGTTGTAGTTGGCGTTGTTGTTTGGGTTGTAGTTGGAGTCGTTGTTTGGGTTGTAGTTGGCGTTGTTGTTTGGGTTGTAGTTGGAGTCGTTGTTTGGGTTGTAGTTGGCGTCGTTGTTTGTGTTGTAGTTGGAGACGTTGTTTGGGTTGTATTTGGCTTTGTTGTTTGGGTTGTAGTTGGATTTGTTGTTTTTGGGTTTTTGGTGTTGGTTGTTTGTGTGGTAGTCGGCGTTGTAGGTTGAGTTATAGTTGGTGTCGTTGTTTGGGTTGTAGTTGGCGTTGTTGTTTGGGTTCTAGTTGGCGTTGTTTGGGTTGTAGTTGGAGTCGTTGTTTGTGTTGCAGTTGGCGTTGTTGTTTGGTTTGTAGTTGGTGTCGTTGGTTGGATTGTATTTTGCGTTGTTGTTTGGGTTGTAGTTGGTGTCGTTGTTTGGGTTGTAGTTGGTGTCGTTGTTTGGGTTGTCGTGGTCGTTGTATTTTGGGTTATATTTGGCGTTGTTGTTTGGGTTGTAGTTGTCGTCGTACATGTGGTTGTTGTTGAAATACGTCTATTATTTGTTCTGAAAATCTTTGTCAAAAATTGGTTTGTTGTTAAGTCAGCTGACAGCGTAGAACTGAAATCGGTTACTTGGTTTGAAACTGAATCTATCTCTGTCGATAATGTTGTCAATAAAGTCGTTTTCATATCTAGCGTTGTTGGCGAAATATGACTATCACTTGAGTTGAAAATCTCACTTGTCGAAAGATGGCTTGTTGTTAAGTCAGATGAAATTGATTCTATCTTTGTAGGTAAAGTCGTTTTCATATCTGGGGTTGTGGCCGAAATATGACTATCACTTGAGTTGAAAATCTCACTTGTCGAAAACTGCTTTGTTGTTAATTCAGGTGAAATTGATTCTATCTCTGTAGGTAAAGTCGTTTTCATATCTGGCGTTGTTGCCGAAATATGACTATCCCTTGAGTTGAAATATTCACTTGTCGAAAATTGGTTTGTTGTTACTTCAGATGAAATTGATTCTATCACTGTAGGTAAAGTTGTTTTCATATCTGGCATTGTTGCCGAAATATGACTATCACTTGAGTTGAAAATCTCACTTGTCGAAAATTGCTTTGTTGTTACGTCAGATGAAATTGATTCTATCTCTGTAGGTAAAGTCGTTTTCATATCTGGCGTTGTTGGCGAAATAGGACTATCACTTGAGTTGAAAATCTCACTTGTCGAAAATTGCTTTGTTGTTAATTCAGATGAAATTGATTCTATCTCTGTAGGTAAAGTCGTTTTCATATCTGGGGTTGTTGCCGAAGTATGACTATCAATTGAGTTGAAAATCACACTTGTCGAAAATTGCTTTGTTGTTACGTCAGATGAAATTGATTCTATCTCTGTAGGTAAAGTCGTTTTGATATCTGGGGTTGTTGCCGAAATAGGACTATCACTTGAGTTGAAAATCTCACTTGTCGAAAATTGCTTTGTTGTTACTTCAGATGAAGTTGATTCTATCTCTGTTGGTAAAGTTGTTTTTGTTTGGGTTATCTAGGGTCGTTGCCGAAATATGACTATCACTTGAGTTGAAAAATCTCACTTGTCGAAAATTGCTTTGTTGTTACTTCAGATGAAGTTGATTCTATCTCTGCTGGTAAAGTTGTTTTCATATCTGGGGTTGTTGCTGTTGGCGTATGACTTTCACTTGAGTTGAAAAAAACTTGTTTTGTCGAAAATTGCTTTGTTGTTAATTCAGATGAAATTGATTCTATCTCTGTTGGTAAAGTTGTTTTCATATCTGGGGTCGTTGCCGAAATATGACTATCACTTGAGTTGAAAAATCTCACTTGTCGAAAATTGCTTTGTTGTTACTTCAGATGAAGTTGATTCTATCTCTGTTGGTAAAGTTGTTTTCATATCTGGGGTTGTTGCCGAAGTATGACTATCACTTGAGTTAAAAATCTCACTTGTCGAAAATTGCTTTGTTGTTACTTCAGATGAAGTTGATTCTATCTCTGTTGGTAAAGTTGTTTTCATATCTGGGGTTGTTGCCGAAGTATGAATATCACTTGAGTTGAAAATTCACTTGTCGAAAATTGCTTTGTTGTTACTTCAGATGAAGTTGATTCTATCTGTTGGTAAAGTTGTTTTTTGGATGTTATCTGGGGTCGTTGCCGAAATATGACTATCACTTGAGTTGAAAATCTCACTTGTCGAAAATTGCTTTGTTGTTACTTCAGATGAAGTTGATTCTATCTCTGTTGGTAAAGTTGTTTTTGGGTTGTATCTGGGGTTGTTGCCGAAGTATGACTATCACTTGAGTTAAAAATCTCACTTGTCGAAAATTGCTTTGTTGTTACTTCAGATGAAGTTGATTCTATCTCTGTTGGTAAAGTTGTTTTCATATCTGGGGTTGTTGCCGAAGTATGACTATCACTTGAGTTGAAAATCTCACTTGTCGACAATTGCTTTGTTGTTACTTCAGATGAAGTTGATTCTATCTCTGTTGGTAAAGTTTTTGCCTGTTTTCATATCTGGGAGTTGTTGCCGAAATATGTTGTTACTATCACTTGAGTTGTAGTAAAAATCTCACTTGTTGAAAAATTGTTTGAAAAATTTGTTGTTACTTCAGATGAAGTTGATTCTATCTCTGTTGGTAAAGTTGTTTTCATATCTGGGGTTGTTTGCCGAAATATGACTATCACTTGAGTTGAAAATCTCACTTGTTTGTTTTGTTGTTATTCAGAAGTTGATTCTATTTCTGTTGGTAAAGGGTTTTTTATCTGGGGTGGTTGCCGAAATATGACTATCACTTGAGTTGAAAATCTCACTTGTCGAAAATTGCTTTGTTGTTACTTCAGATGAAGTTGATTCTATCTCTGTTGGTAAAGTTGTTTTCATATCTGGGGTCGTTGCCGAAATATGACTATCACTTGAGTTGAAAATCTCACTTGTCGAAAATTGCTTTGTTGTTACTTCAGATGAAGTTGATTCTATCTCTGTTGGTAAAGTTGTTTTCATATCTGGGGTTTGGACTATCACTTGAGTTGTTTGCTTTGTTGTTACTTCAGATGAAGTTGATTCCTATGACTGTTCAAAGTTGAGTTGAAAATCTGAAAAATCTTGTCGAAAATTGTTTTGTTGTTACTTCAGATGAAGTTGATTCTATCTCTGTTGGTAAGTTGTTTTCATATCTGGGGTTGTTGCCGAAATATGACTATCACTTGAGTTAAAAATCTCACTTGTCGAAAATTGCTTTGTTGTTACTTCAGATGAAGTTGATTCTATCTCTGCTTGTTGTTTTCAATCTGTTGTTTTCAAGTCTGGGGTCAAAAATCGTTGTTTGATGAATGTTGATTGGTAAAGTTGTTTTCATTGGGGTTTGGGCCGTATGACTCACTTGAGTTGTCGAAAATTGTTTGTTTTACTTCAGATGAAGTTGATTCTATCTGTGTTGGTAAAGTTGTTTTCATATCTAGGGTGGTTGCCGAAATATGACTATCACTTGAGTTGAAAAATCTCACTTGTCGAAAATTGGTTTGTTGTTACTTCAGATGAAGTTGATTCTATCTCTGTTGGTAAAGTTGTTTTTGTTATCTTGGGTTGTTGCCGAAGTTGTGACTATCACTTGAGTTGAAAAATCTCACTTTCGTTTGGTTTGTTGTTTGGGTTGTGTCTTCAGATTGATTCTATTTGGTTGTTTTCATATCTGTTGTTGCTTGAAATTGATTGAAAATCTCCACTTGTCGAAAATTGCTTTGTTGTTGGTTCAATGAAGTTGTTCTATCTCTGTTGGTAAAGTTGTTTTCATATCTGGGGTTGTTGCCGAAATATGACTATCACTTGAGTTAAAAATCTCACTTGTCGAAAATTGCTTTGATGTTACTTCAGATGAAGTTGATTCTATCTCTGTTGGTAAAGTTGTTTTCATTCTCTGGGGTGGTTGCCGAAGTTTGACTATCACTTGAGTTGAAAATCTCACTTGTCGAAAATTGTTTTGGGTTGTTGTTACTTCAGATGAAGTTGATTCTATCTCTGTTGGTAAAGTTGTTTTCATATCTTGGGTTGTTGCCGAAATATGACTATCACTTGAGTTGAAAATCTTGTTTGGTTGTCGAAAATTGGTTTGTTGTTACTTCAGATGAAGTTGATTCTATCTCTGCTGGTAAAGTTGTTTTCATATCTGGGGTTGTTGCCGAAGTATGACTATCACTTGAGTTGAAAATCTCACTTGTCGAAAATTGCTTTGTTGTTACTTCAGATGAAGTTGATTCTATCTCTGTTGCTAAAGTTGTTTTCATATCTAGGGTCGTTGCCGAAATATGACTATCACTTGAGTTGAAAATCTCACTTGTCGAAAATTGGTTTGTTGTTACTTCAGATGAAGTTGATTCTATCTCTGTTGGTAAAGTTGTTTTCATATCTGGGGTGGTTGCCGAAGTATGACTATCACTTGAGTTGAAAATCTCACTTGTCGAAAATTGCTTTGTTGTTACTTCAGATGAAGTTGATTCTATCTCTGTTGGTAAAGTCGTTTTCATATCTTGGGTTGTTGCCGAAATATGACTATCACTTGAGTTGAAAATCTCACTTGTCGAAAATTGGTTTGTTGTTACTTCAGATGAAGTTGATTCTATCTCTGCTGGTAAAGTTGTTTTCATATCTGGGGTTGTTGCCGAAGTTGGCGACTATCACTTGAGTTGAAAATCTCACTTTGTCGAAATTGCTTTGTTGTTACTTCCAGATGAAGTTGATTCTATCTCTGTTGGTAAAGTTGTTTTTCATATCTAGGGTCGTTGCCGAAATATGACTATCACTTGAGTTGAAAATCTCACTTGTCGAAAATTGGTTTGTTGTTACTTGAAGTTGATTCTATCTCTGTTGGTAAAGTTTTTTTCATATCTGGGGTGGTTGCCGAAGTATGACTATCACTTGAGTTGAAAATCTCACTTGTTTAAATTGCTTTGTTGTTACTTCAGATGAAGTTGATTCTATCTCTGTTGGTAAAGTCGTTTTCATATCTTGGGTTGTTGCCGAAATATGACTATCACTTGAGTTGAAAATCTCACTTGTCGAAAATTGGTTTGTTGTTACTTCAGATGAAGTTGATTCTATCTCTGCTGGTAAAGTTGTTTTCATATCTGGGGTTGTTGACGAAGTATGACTATCACTTGAGTTGAAAATCTCACTTGTCGAAAATTGCTTTGTTGTTAATTCAGATGAAATTGATTCTATCTCTGTTGGTAAAGTCGTTTTCATATCTGGGGTTGTTGCCGAAGTATGATTATAAATTGAGTTGAAAATCTCACTTGTCGAAAATTGATTTGTTCTTACGTCAGATGAAATTGATTCTATCTCTGTAGGTAATATCGTTTTGATATCTGTGGTTGTTGCCGAAATAGGACTATCACTTGAGTTGAAATACTCACTTGTCGAAAATTGGTTTGTTGTTACTTCAGATGAAGTTGATTCTATCTCTGTTGGTAAAGTTGTTTTCATATCTGGGGTTGTTGCCGAAGTATGACTATCACGTGAGTTGAAAATCTCACTTATCGAAAATTGCTTTGTTGTTACTTCAGATGAAGTTGATTCTATCTCTGTTGGTAAAGTTGTTTTCATATCTGGGGTCGTTGCCGAAATATGACTATCACTTGAGTTGAAAATCTCACTTGTCGAAAATTGGTTTGTTGTTACTTCAGATG